CAATTATGGTGTGATAATCAAGTAAGACTTAAAAATTGTCCTGTTGACCAAAACACAGCGTGCTTTCAAAGTAAGCAGATTTTTGAAAGACTAAAAGAAGAGGCTGGGGAGGCAGCCAATAATGAAGAGTTTAAAGCTAGTAACGGCTGGTTCAGCCGATTCAAAAGTCGTTGTCGTAAAGTGGAGAGGCGGCAAGTGCTGACAAAGAAGCTGCGTCTCTTTATCAAGAAAAACTCAAGAAAATGATTAAAGATGGTGGCTACTCTAGCCAAACCATCCAGAAAATCCAAGAGTCTTAAAAAACAAATCATTTGGAAATCTAATGCGAAAACTTGGATGACAGCTTTTCTTCTTGAAGACTGGTTTGATCATCATTTTATTCCTGAAGTAAAACGTTATTGCCAATGGAAACAAATTCCATTTAAGGTGATACTACTAGTTGACAATGCACCAGGTCATCCTTTATTTTTGCCATCAAATACTACCAGCTTGCTTCAACCAATGGACCAGGGAGTCATTAAAATATTAAAAGCTTACTACACAAGGCAATCATTTACACATCTAAATGAAATTATAAGACAAAATAACGAACTTCTGTCAAAGACTTTTGGAAGCAATTCAATGTTTTTGATGCTGTAAGAATTATTGGACAATCTTGGAATGAAATTTCACAAAAAACGTAGCGTAGAAACCCAAGGAGAACCAGCCTCAGATCCTAAACAAATCGATGGTGTAATTAAAAACGTGTTCGATATTGCCAAAAAATTAAATTTAGAGGAGGATAATGATGACGTCCAATAATTGCTGGATTCACACAATCAAGAGCTTACAATTGACGAGCTTATAGAAATGCGTATGATCAAGACATTGAACAAACTGATTCGTTAGACCCAATTAAATTGGAAAATCAAATGACGATTTCAAACTTAACAAAAGGCCTCAGCACAATTGAAAAGGGGTTACAAATTTTTGAAAAAAATAGATTCCAATGAAGATGCGTTACTACTAGAAAACGGGAAATAAAAAAGTCACTGGCATGCTACGAGAAAATTTTACGTGAGAAGAAAAAAACTTAACTCGTCAGACAACATTGTTAGAATATATGAAACCTTTGACATTAAAATAACTTCGGTTTACGTTATTTTATTCGTGGTTTTATTCTAAATTATTATTTTATTTAGACTCTGGTCCCGATTACACAAACCTTATACTGTAATGTTCGTGGCTTTCACAAAATTAACTTCTAAGACTGATAACACAAGAACTATTTACACTAATTATTAAAGAACTTAAAAACACTATTAAATTATTACTAAACGTAGGTTATGAATTATTCTATTTATTTACACTACCGTTGATATATCACTATTCACTGCGCTATTTATTTCACTGCTATCACTGTAAATTTATTTCTCGATTCACTTCTGTAACGGTCAGTTTATTTGTTCTTCTCTCGGCAATCGTCTCTTCCTTTGAATACTCTTTTGTTTCCTTTCTGGAACTCTCTAGAAACATCCGGATCGTCTTTGAACTGTTTAACTGCTTTCCTAGAACGCAGACACGACACACAAATTTACAAATACGGCGCACATGAAGAAAGGCGCCCGCAGCCAGTCGGCGAATCAATAAGCCGTTCACGCACACGTGTGCCCGATAGCACACAAACACGCTCGTGCTCGCTACAATGCATATTTACATGCAAAGTTGAACCCCGACTTACGCGAATTTGACTTACACAGCTATAGCTTGATCCTACTTATCGCTTAAGTGCGGAGTATTACTGTATTCTACTTTTACACTTAACTTATATACAATTATATACTATCAGCAAACATACTAATTTTGCAAAACCTAATACCATTGATACATAACATGAACAATAGGGCAAGGTCGAATTGGGTCCCAAAAGTAGCAGATAGATAAATCGATGACCGAATTGGCACCCTGAAAGGGCCGAACCATATACCGTCCTGTTAACGGGTGTTGTTAATGAGAGGCAAAAAATGAGTAACGAGCTAAACCAAACGAAGCATAGTGCAAAATTTAATTAACATAGAGTTAAAAAAGGAGGATGTCGGAACAGTAGCTCACCATGATGTTACCAGGATACAAAAAAATATTTACGGGGCGTAATTAACAGGACAACCTAAAACTCAACGGACTTTTCACGGAGAAAATGAAAACCGAAAATTTACCTAAATATTAAAGCCATATTTACAATTTATCCCACCAGCCCGTTGCTTCGTCAGCGAAAATAATAAAAATTGCAATTTGGACCGGAATTTGTAAAAATAAAATCCCAGCAGAAATAAATTAACTAGGTATTTTAGTTGATATTAAAAATTTAATTGTAATAATTAAGAAACTTGAAATAATTTTTGAAGAAACATGTCAAAATTGAGATTATTACAAGTTTCTTTATAAATTCTACTATTTTTAGGGCAAATTCAGTCATTTACAATCGAAAATTGTAGTTTTTGCGTTGTCATAAAAATTTAGTTTTCTCCGTGTTTACAAGGTATTCTTATCAATTATTAAGGTAACTCCACTCGTTAAATCATAAAAGTCGAATGCTAGGTATTATTAACAGTTAAGCTATAGTAAAAGCGATAACACATTTTTTCGTAAGATTTTTGAACCGGTGGTTTTCCTCATGAAAGACATTCACCATTATGTTCGTCTACTAAAGGCCTTTACAATATGAGCAGTCACCTCAGTGGGTGCTGCCCTAAATATTAGGTCATATTTGTATGAACGTATTTTTCAGAGAATGATATAAGTGAAATAGAAGAGTATTTTGCTAATTGTACCATAATCCTATATTGATCCAAAAAAAAATTGAATGTTTCAAAATTGTGATGTTATTGGATGTTAATTGATCCCTTAACACTACAGTGGACCCCCAGTAATCCAATAACCATTTTGCAGGGCAGTGTCGAATTATCGAATTTGTCGGATTATAGAGTACTGCCTAAAACCCCCTATAGTCCGGATTTTTTTACAGCACAGTACCTTATTGTTATTCGACAAATTACAGATCCAATGATAAGGTTCTATATGTTATACCTGAAGTACAAATCATACGTCGTTGCATATGCATATATCGAATAAAATAATTCGAAGTGGTATGTATTCTGTCGAAACTGCCAGACGCGGATCGCGATTTCGATCTGATAGAACACAGACCAAACTTTTACCTGCTGCCTTAACAGCGCGTTTTAGAAAATACGACAAATGGCGCTGTAAACGCCACCTGTAGTACAGTACTACATTTTAGTAGTACGAATCCCGGCATAGCTCACCTCAACGTGGTCGGAAAGTAACTATACGAATAAAATAATCCGAAGTGGTCTGTATTCTGTCGTGGTACCACGTTGAAGTGAGCTACGCCGGGATTCGTTTCAGCAAGTAGATATCCATATATTTAAATGGACCTTACTGAAGCATACGTAATCCTAAAATGTAGTACTGTACTACAGGTGGCGTTTACAGCGCCATTCGTCGTATTTTCTATATGCATATATGTCGAATTTAGTAAATTAAACAACATAATAGAGAGCTTACGTTTTACATATCATAAAATTAACGTCAGAACTTACAAAAAATAATAACTTTACATTAGGAAATAATTGTGTAGGAACAAATGTACATTGTAATAGATACATTAGCGAAAATTGTAAAAAAATATTCAATGCATAATAATACGTGACATGTAGGATTACAGGAGGTCCACTGTATTTTACATCATATCATCATCATCATAAGCTCATCGGTCCAAGACTGGAAAAGCTAGAATATCCCATATCCTCAACTATTTATGAACAGTAACCTAATCTAGGTCTACCTCTATTCCTCTTAACTCCTGTTTCTGCTTCTAATATATCTCTCACTAACCCTTTAAGTCTGAGAAGGTGTTCCATCACCAACTTATCTCGTTTATAGACTTCCATAGTCAATATTCTTTCTAATACCTCCTCATTTCTAACCATCCCTATCCACGGTATCCCTATCATTCTCCTGTAACACCAAATTTTGAACGCTTCCAAGTCAATGTTTCGCACCCGTCCAGTGCCGTGCTCCAGACATAAACCCTTAAAAATCTTTTTCGAATTTCTAAATTAACCGCTAGTGAGTAATATAAATCTTCAATATATTTTACTTTCAACCAAATCAACAAAGCCATTCAGATTTTAAAAATTAGTTCTCACCCCCAGGGGTTTAACAATATTATGATCTAACTAGCTTCTGCCCGCGACTTCATCCGCGTGGAATAGTTACTTTGGGCTAACGCTAACTTTAACCCACGATTTTGTTTACGTAGAAGGTGAAACTATTTTTAAGTAATACGTATGTTAAGGACCTATTTTAGGTACCTACATATGAATAACGTATTTGTTTGGATAAGGATTAATATCTTGTTTATAAAAACACCTTCGCAAATAATGCATTATTTTAGAACAAATTTGGTTAGCATAAAAAAGGTTATAGTGAGCCAACCTTAAAAGATAGACACATGCTGTCGCAGACTTTTTTTAGGACTTTTAGAGAGGAACAATTCTGTCTTAAATAATTTTTGCGAATCTTTAACCGTTTACGCAGCGCACGCAGCGGAAGCTCTCAAAAGGAAGAAAAAACAATTTTGAAACACTCTTCATTTGTGCTCCCTATTGGTCTTAACGCGATAATATGTATCCTAGAGCCTTCCTCAATATATGAGCTATCTAACTGAAAAAATTTTTCAAATCGGGCCAGTAGTTCCTGAGATTACCAAACAGACTAACAAACTCTTTAGCTTTATAATATTAGTATAAATAATCAAATTGCTTATTATATATTAGTAGTAATTATAGAGCAAAAAACGGATAAAATCCGTGTGGGGGCACTTTGCCTTCGCTTATTCGCCTAAGGCCTTTCATGTTATCACAGGAAACTAATATAATATTTCCGACGAAAAAAGAGCAAAAGCGGTAACGAAAAACGGACGATTGAAAAATTCTTACCTTAAGGGCTTCTTCGTGCGAAATCCCAGTGAATGGGGTGCCATTCACTTCAAGGATTGAGTCTCCGGGCCTTAATCCGGCACGCTCGGCAACACTACCCTCCTCTACTCTCGATATGTACACTCCAACCCCTGTAATACGTTATACATATATCAGTGGCGGAACTTAAACAACACTGACGGTTTAAAATGAACATGACAAGAACAAGTCAAATACTTCAGAGCCTTTTTAGTCTTTCCACAAGCTAAGTAATGACATGAAAAAAAGAAAGTATCTTATCGGTCGATCAAGCATATAGATTTGCAAGCCGCACTTTTCATTATTTCTTTTATGCTAAATTACGATATATTTAAAAATGCTATACATTTAAATAAAATAATTCGAAGTCGTCTGTATTCTGTCGAAATTGCCAGACGCGGATCGCGATTTCGATCTTTTTGGATTTCAGCAGCGCGCCACAGACAGCTCCGGCAGAACACAGACCAACCTTTACCTGCTGTCTTAACAGCGCGTTTTAGAAAATACCACAAATGGCGCGGTAAACGCCATCTGTAGTACGATGCTACATTACAGACCAATTTTTACCTGCTGTCTTAACAGCGCGTTTTAGAAAATACCACAAATGGCGCGGTAAACGCCATCTGTAGTACGATGCTATATTTTAGGATTACGTATGCTCCCACAAGGTCCATTTAAATATATGGATATCTACTTGCTTAAACGAGTCCCGGCGTAGCTAACCTGGCAGTTTCGACAGAATACAGACCACTTTGAATTATTTTATTCGATTATGGTAACGTGCGTATCACGTTGAGGTGAGCTACGCCGGGATTCGTTTCAGCAAGTAAATATCCATATATTTAAATGGACCTTGTTGGAGCATACGTAATCCTAAAATGTAGTAATAGTAAATATAGTATATCAATTTTGGGGTTAAAAGTACTGTATTTATTTAAAAAAGTACAACCGACGTTTCCACCAGGTTGTTCAACTTTCTCAAGGCTAATTTGATTTAAACAACTGAATACAACGTAGGGGTATAATGATCAATAAAACTAACCTATAAAAATCTCACCACGGATAAGCATTAAGTATAATATATTATAATACCGATTTTCATGTGACATCGTTCTACCCACACAGAATTATAAAAGGTTTTATGCCAATAAAATATGATAATCTTTGAACTAGAACAAAACCATTAAAGCTTTTCTTTATGGTATGTTCAATAACATCTACTATAGCCTTTATAATCACAGTTGGCCGACTATTACGCTTTGTCCTGAAATTTATAGCACATTCCGATGGTATTTCGTAATCCTCAGGATTCTATATTCCAGAGAATGTCGAATCAATAATTGCGGCTGATACAGCTAAGCGTAGAAATAACTTGGCATCGACTCAAACACTCCTTTTTAAACAGCTATTATATCATGCACAACTCGCAATAAAATAAATGACATCTGTGCGAAACGGTGATGTGGCTGTTATAAAACTTTTAATTACATTTTTTTTTAATTTATTGAAACCGAGTTCAAAACCTTGGAGCCCTAAAAGGAACTATATTAATGAATACGAGTAGTTAATTTTTTTAGGTCAATCGTAAGCTCATCATCATCATCATCATAAGGTCATCAGTCCTAAGACTGGTTTGACACGTACCTCCACTTTTTCCTATCCTGAGTTAAACTTCGCATTTCCGTAAAATTAGAACAACCCACATCCTTAACTATTTGCGAAGAGTAATCTAATCTAGGCCTACCTCTACCCCTCCTAACTCCTGTTTCTGCCTTTAATATGTCTCTGACTAGACCTTCATGCCTGAGAAGGTGTCCTACTAATCTATCTCGCCTGTTTCTTATTGACTTCTATAGGGTCCTCTGTTCTCCTATTCTTTCCAATACCTCTTCATTTCTAACCTTCTCTATCCACGGTATCCTCATCATTCGCCTATAACACCACATTTCGAACGATTCTAACCTTTTCTTTTCCGCCACACCCACTGTCCATGTTTCGCACCTGTACAACGCCGCGCTTCAAACATACACCTTTAACAACCTTTTTCGAAAGTAACCGTTCGCGAGCATAGAGGTAACTTCTTTTTAATAAAAGCAACACGACCCTGCGCTATCTTTTGCTTTATATACCTACTACTCCTTTCGTCCTGACTTTCTAGATATCTAAAGTCCCAAACTAAGCCAAACAATACAAACATAGTACATACTACAAACGTAGTTGCAGGTTGTTCTCAGTAAATATTTTTTTTTATTTTGCATACAATCAGTACTGCCACTATATTATATATTATTCTCCTGCTTTAGTGTAGTATAAAAGCAATAAACCTGTAGACACCCTTAAAGGTGGTAACTTCAACTTTATTGACCTTTGACTGCCTCTACAGAACATTTCATCCTTCTGGACTGGCTAAGGTATAAATTCAGTACTATTGAAAATGATAATAAATAATGACGTTTTTTGATTCTGAAAGCGGTGAATTCAGATCATTGTTTATTAAAAACCGCATACTAACTACTGGTAAACAATTAAAGCATTATTCTTCCTGATCAATATGGACCTAATTCATTCTTGGTATTTATCAACCGTCCTGCCTTTAGTAGTTTTGTGCTACGTTAAATGGCGTGTACTATATTTTGCTACATATCCATATATCTACATCCTATTGCTACAAATATTTTTTTTTAATAAATAGATCGTAATAAGTAATTAGTATAGTGACCATAAACTTTAATGCCCAGCGTATGTTTCAAAATGAAAAAATTATGTTCCCACTGCCATCCTGGCCGTCTAAGGTCTAATAAGAGGAAAGGAAAAAAGCTTTCGTGAATGTGGAAGGAAGGCAATTTATTTTCTTTGTTGTGTATTACCCGTCAATGGAAAAGCTACTTTAAAAGTACTATGTAATTATGATGTATACATGTATATACCTTGTTGTTTTGATGTAAATATATTACTAAACATCAAAACTGGAAACGGTACTGCCTGATTAAGGTTAGTACGGCCAGCCTATAGTATTTAGGCACGTACCAGTTGTTTTTCATAATTTTAATAAATCTTAGTAAAATTTTGAATAGATTTCGCTTCACACCAACTGCAAAAGCATGATCAACTTAACTATACGATAAGTCCACCGAGGTGCGATAGCATCAAATCGACGTTATTAATTTATTAAGTTAAATATGTGAATCATTTTACATAAGGATTCCTTTTCATAATTAAAAAAAACATCAAAGAATCTAGAGTAGGTAATCGATGTGCATGCGAAATCTGTTCAAAAAGTATCGCGAATTTTGAATTTCCGCGCGTTACCTATTGTAATGTTGTAACTTTTAAGTCTCACAACGACAAAAACTATTTATTTACACTAATTATTATTAAATGACTTAAAAACACTATTAAATTCTTGCTAACTTAAGTGATTAATTACTCTATTTATTTACAGTACTGTTGATATCACTATTGACTGTGCTATTTATTTCATTTCTTTTACTGTCAATTTATTTCTTGATTCACTTCTGCAACGGTCAATTTATTTCTACTCTCTTCCTTAATATACTCTTTTGTNTTACTCTGTTTATTTACAGTACTGTTGATATCACTATTGACTGTGCTATTTATTTCATTTCTTTTACTGTCAATTTATTTCTTGATTCACTTCTGCAACGGTCAATTTATTTCTCCCCTTTTCGGCGATCGTCTCTTCCTTTAAATACTCCCCGGCTTCCTTTCGAGAACCTTCTCGAGCCGCCTGGAAAAGTTTCTTTTTCTTTGAATTGTTTAATTGCTTTTCCAGAACGCAGGTACGACACACACATTTACAAATATCGATAATCGATAAGCCGCTCACGCACACGTATGCCCGATTGCACACAAACACGCTCGTGCTCGCACCACTGCCCCCTCCTTAAGGATGTTTCGTCCCGAAACATTTTCACTTTCCGTTTCGCAGGATCATGCCGGAATCTGCAGTTCTCACCTGCACGACATCCCCTCCGGGAATAGAAGTAACAGTCCACGGTCTTCTCATTATTGGTTCGATTCGGGTTATTACTGCAAACCAAAATGTCTATTCCAGTACGACGGAACAGGACTTCGATCATGTTCCGTAGGATCCTCCAATCTAGACTGTCCAGTCCACAACCAAGCCTCGGAATCGCCAGCTTCTGTAGGTTATTCTCCAGAAGATGTCCGCAGAGTTCCATTACTGCGTCCCAAAGGTCTCTATAAGTTGGGTTATCAGAGCATCTTCCTTTAGTTACTAGGTAATAGATATTGCGTCGTCCGCCAGGCAAGCATAACAGTCTTTTTCCCTTCTGTACTTGGTCTTCAAGATGTTCCAAACCGCCAAATCTGCGTTTGAACTCGGACGCGATACCACGGCTCATTCTGAGTTCCTTTGAAACGCAATGGGCCAGAGAATATTTCCTGGATATTGCAAAGAGGTCTCGTCGGATTTCTTGCGTTACTCAAAATCTCCTGTTAACATGGGAGCCTTCCTTCATGAACTCTTCAAATGTGGGCTCGGAAGAAATAGTTCTTAATAATCTGACCTGCGCGTCCTCTTCATTTGCACCGGCGAATGAACCAAGCTATTAAAATGGACTACCTTTGGCTTCCCATTTGGAGTTTTCTTAATTCGATAGATCACGTCGTTAATCCTCTTCACTAACTCGTAGGGTCCTTCCCAATTCTGTTGGAACTTAGGTGATAGTGCACGGCGACGACGAGGATTATACAACCATACAAGATCTCCAGTTTGGTAAGCACCTGCTGTAGTTATAGTAGCCTTCATATCGTAGTTTTCTTTAATCCTGTCACTAGCAATCTGCGTATGCAGACGAACCGACTCGTGGATATCGTTAAGCTTTCTTCGGAGGTTGGTAACATAATCTTCTCCAGCCAAATCATCTCCTGATTTACAGCCAAATTTGGGGTCACACTGTAGTCGTAACTTCCTTCCAAAAAGGACACTGGCAGGTGTTTGGCTAGTCGTTTCGTGGACAGATGAACTTCCTCCCTTGATCTGAGTGTAACTCCAAGGGCACCCCAAAACGACTTTCTCAGACTCTGGGAATGGACCCGCCACATCGATTACGATTCGTTCGAAGGGGCC